AAAGGGCTGGGGTTTAGGCAGGTGGTTGACACAAAGGGCAGATAACTTTCCCAGCCCTAAGCATATTAAGTCCCATTATGGTCTGTAATAGCTAGATCAGAGGGGCACTCAGGGTGGTGTGAGCCTAATTTTTGGCATGCCTTGGCTGATGCACCTTGCAAAGGATGTCCTATGACTGGCACAGGTCACTGACAGATAACAAATATTAGCAGTCATCTGCAATGCTTGTCACATATTAGTGGCCAGTCTTGGGAACAGCCACTGAGCTCCTGTTCTTGTCGTCTCCCTAAAATTCCCTTTTTTCCCCTCCAACAACAAATGCTATCCAGGCCTAATACTTCACTACAAGGAAAAGACTGTTCTTTGGCTGTCCCAAGAGTAGAGCAACAGGATACAATTCACTACCCAGAAAGTTCAGAAGATTTAAGACATCCTGGAGGCTGGGCAGGCAATGATCCCACCAATGTCATTCAGCACTGATGCAGGCTTTCAGTGATGCTTCCCAGGAGACCAAGGTGGAGTGAAATACAGGAATGTGACTTTTGTGTCCTTCCAGATCAGCTGGTTAAAGGCCTCACCAGGCTAAACCCTAGGAAGGGCAAATCAGTTATACCTACCTGCACGCAGTAAACAGTGCCGCCGTTGTAAACAGAGGTTTTGATAAATCAAGATCCATTTGCTGTGCTTCAGAGAGACTGGATTCATACCTAGAAAACAGCAATAGCATTTACTGAACAGCTAACTGACTTCAAACAAAGCTGCTGAAATTAACTGGTTACATGCCACTTTGCAGTCAAGCAAAAGCCCAGTATTGAATTTGCTTAGCTCTTTGCGTCTTACCTAGGCACAAATATCATCATCTGCTTCCGACTGAGAACAAATGAGACAGATGGGAAAGAAGGGGCTCGCCACCCTCTTGAGCTGCTGCCACGGTGCAATTTATTTTAAATTGAGGAATCGGGCAAAGGGGACAAATAGAATCAGTAATCTTTTTTTCTGCTCAGCTCAGTCAATAGAATAAAGTACTTCATGCTTGTAAAGAACTGAGGGGACTTTTTGGGTTCATCTCAGTGCAGAGGGCCAGGTCTGTAGTTCTTAACTACTCACTCTCCACTGATGCTTTCACATAGATTTTAGGTATGGCCGAGAGCTTTGTGCACCTCAGTACTGGGCTGTATTTCATTCTTCATTATGCATCTACCTAAGGGCCATTTATTTCAATTTACGTTTGTAAGAACTATTGTTTAAATACATTGGGAAAAGTCTCTAGGTATTCTGGTAGCCTCAATCTTAAAACAGGATGGATGCATGAACAGCTTTTAAATATGTTAAGCCACCTCTAAGTGGCGACTATTCTTTATACAAAGAATAATGACATTTCAGCAACTGCTCGTGTTACTATACGGAAGAGATTTTTAACAGATGAGACTTGTGACTGTAAAGTCTTACTCCTCTTCCCTTTTTAAAAGAAAAGCAAGATGCATCTTGGACACATTTCTCTAGCCATGGTGATGTCCTTCCTATTGTGCATGTGTTTTAGAACTGTGATGTTTATTGAGAAAGTGGTACAGGTTGGTTTAGATGAAGGTGATCCACAGGAAGTAACATGGTGCTGCAAATAAGAAAGCGGACTGAGAATCAAGAATTCTGCCTTTTATTCTCAGTTCCACATTAGCTCACTCCAATACCAAGCAAACAGCAATCTAAGATTTTAGATGTGGGTTGCTAATGTAGGCCTATGTAAGTAACCTAATTTTCCAGTTTTGCTGGGCACTCCAACTCTCTCTGAAGTCAAGTTGATGAGAGACACAGATGTTCCATATGATCAGGCCCTTAGCAGGTATAAAGGGCATTTTTAAGAGTAAGTTCAAACTGATGGACATAAAAAGATCTTTAAGTTCCCTACCTTTGTAATAATTTTGCTGCTGTGTTGATTGCCTCTGTGCAACAGAACTGGACAGCCAAGTCTCGGATTCCCAGACTGGAGTTCGTGCCTAACAAACACTCAAAAGACTTCATGCAATTCTGATAAGTTGTCTTGTTCAAACCGGAGAGTCTAACAAAGTTGCTCTTTGGAAGAAGAAAACCCACAAATTCCATGGATTAGTAGAATATTTCTTCATTAGTAGAATATTTCTTCAGTACTTTACCCAGAGAGCTGGAATAGGTAAGTTTAAAACCAGTCTCTCTTCTTAAAAGGAGTTTAACTGTTGTGTGTAGTGGCTGATATTGCAGTTTCATTGAGGAAACAAAACAATTAAATTGCTAAGAAACATCCCAATGCAGTGTCACCAGGGCATAATTACCTGAATGTTGGGGCTTGCTTTTCCTAACTGTGTGGAAAGCAACACAGCCCTTCCCCTGCAGATGCTTTTAGGCAGGGGTCAGCAACATTTTTGGGCAGAGTGCCAAAAAGACTTGCAACCTCAACTTGTATGGGGCAGATGACAGAGGAGCCGCGAGGGGCCCAATCCCTGTTGTGGCAGTGCAGCCCTGGCCCTTTCCCCGCTGTCTGCCCCAAGGCATGCGTGCTTGCCACAGAGCCCTGGCTACTCGCAGCAGGTGGTGGGGAGGCTGCAAACAGCTGCACTGGTGTCTGCAGAGCCCCAGCTTGGCTTGGTGGCAGCAGGTGCATGTATGCCTTGAGGCAGACAGCAAGGAAGGGGTCAGGGCTGCATTGTCACAACAAGGATTGGGTCCCTAGTGGCTCCCCCACTGTCTGCCCCAAAGCACGCAGGCCAAGCAAAACCCTTTGCATGCCATGCCCTGGCATGCATGCTAGAGGTTGCCTACACCTGCTTTAAGGGCTAAAGAAGCTGACTTTGGAGCATTTATGTAGGGCAGCAGTTTTCTGCCCTGGCAGTTCTAGACGGGTATCCACAAGCTTCCAACAGGGAGACAGACATGGAGTCACTGGCCTTTAGCATGTTTGCTTACAGTTAAGGAAAATGGCTTGCTGTCCTTCAGTTACTCTCAGCCAGGGTCTGTAGTAGACAATTTTTACTAGAATCAAATGTCCAATGAGTAAGAAGTAACAGCAGAGAAAATGTCCATCTCAAAAGGAATGAAACACTGCCTGCTTACAGGTGTGGAAATAAAAAAATCCCACCACTGTATTTTCAGCTTGGTGTGCCCCTGCACTGAGAGCAGTGCATGCCCAGAAGAGGCACTGTGTTAGTTTGACCTGGCTCTCCCAACATCTGTATAGATCGTGTGCTTCAGCAGGGTTTTTTGCTGCTTTTATCTAATAGCTGATTGAATCAGCTATTACACAGAAGTGCCAAAAAGCCCTGCCAAAGTGCCTAATCTATACAGAGCTGGGTCAAACTAACACGCTTCCTCTTCTGATAGAGTACTTTTCTTTCCCCTCTATGTCTGTCAGTGCCCCATGACTTTAGTCTCCAATTCTGCATCAATGAAAAGTGGAATAGTACTGGTCAGTAATCTGATGTACAGGAAATGTTACTTATTAGACTTCCCTTGGTGATCTCATAACGTATACTAAAGAGGATCCCATTTTATTGAAGCTAGTAACAGAGAAAAGAGAATGAGGGCACATAAGGCATCTTACTTTGTCTACTGGCTGCTTCATGAAACTAGCTGCTAGATCCAGGCACATTACCGCATGGCTTGTGGCTGTCATTTGAGTTAATAATCCCGTGCACTTCACCTGGGACAGTCGCAGATACTCTTCAGCTTTTCTGGAAAGAACAGACATCCAAAAAATTTGTTAATGCCACTGCGATGGTGGATGTATTTTATTTTCATCTGGAAGATGCAAACAAGCAAACTCAGGTCAGGGTCTTGTAGGTGAAGATACAAAAGTTTAGACAAATAAGATGTCAGTGAAGTGTCTGGAACTACTGAGAGTGTTTTGGACCGTACCACCTCACAGCTGAGCAAAGAGGGAGTCCGCTTAGTTGAAAGTAATTTGAACACAATTCCTTTATCATGTCCCTTGGACTAGGTACAGAAGGACTTGGAGAGCCTAGATTTGAAGACAGGCCTTAAGTAATGCACACATTTACATTGAAACCACAAAATATTCATATAACGTAACCGCAGCAGGTTGGCGTGAGCAGCCTCTGGGTGATGAAAGCAGGTGAAAATCTGAAAAAGAGTCTTAGCATGTCCCAGGACAGGGCAGCTGGGCTCTATCCGGGAAGCAGGCTTGCCTCCTGCGTGCAGTGCTGGCGGCAGGCCCTGAGGGAAGCGGGGGGCTAGCCGGTGCTTGACTGCATGAGCACGTCTTTGACCTGAGCAACGCAGGGGGCACTTCTCCGGGCAGTATCAGCCACCCCCCAACCTGCAGCCGCCTCTGCTCGGGCGGGGGAGCCCAGGCACACGCGGCCACTGAAAGAAATCAAGTGAAACGGCAGGAGCCCGCTACGCAGAGCGGAGCTGGTCAGGATCGGGGCCCGGCAGGGGAAGCAAGGCTGATCAGGCTGCAAGAGAGGTCAGGCGGGGAGAGCCTGGCTGCTCTAACGTGGGGACCTCTCGGTGCAAGCACCGCAAGCCCGGGGCCTGATCCCAGGGGCGAGCAGGGGGCGCTGCAGCGGCCTCGTTACCTGATGACTGCGGGCTCGGCGATGCCCAGCCTGGGCGCCAGGCGCCGGATCACACCTTGCTCCATCCCGTGCTGCAGCGGCCTCAGGACACCCGGACACAGCTCTCCTTCCCGCCACTCGCTATGGCCCCGCCCCTTCCGAACGCTCGCAACCTGCCGGCCCCGCCCCTTCCGAACGCTCGCAACCTTCTCCCAGCACCGGCCCCACCCCTTCCGAACGTCCGCAAGCCACCGGCCCCGCCCCTTCCGAACGTTCGTCTGGGTCTGTAGAACGCGGTGACGTTCCTGGCTAGTAAGCCCGCTGGCTCCCTGGGTGGTGGCGCGTTCCTGATTCCGGTTGGTCGGCCCGCCCGCCGGTCACTATTCCTCGGAACCAATCAGCTTCTAAGCGCTGAGTCGGTCGCAGCCGGCCAATGAGAGAGGGCCGTGGCGGGCGCGGGGCGGGGCCGCGGGGCTGCAGCGTCACATGACGGAGCGGCGCTCGCGGGGTGGTGCTGGTGGTGGAGGCTTGTAGCGGTCGCGGCGTGATCATGGTGAGCGGGGCCGGGCATGGCGCTCGTCCCCCGCCAACTAGTGGGGTCCTGCGTTGCACGGGCGGCGGCCCGGAGGCCCTGCGTGGTGCTGGGAGGGGACTGAGCTGGGCCCAGCGCGGGCGGTTGGCCTGGCTTCCCCCCCGCTGCCTCCCCGGGCCGGGGCCTCCCCCTGTGGGCTGCTGCTCTGGGGTGATGGACCTGGGGGTAGGGGCCAGCCGGGCTTAGTGTGCACAACTGTGAAATGGGTCTGAGCCCTGGTGGGGGCAGGGGGTGTGCACTGGGACCGGTTCTCTGCTGGTGCATGTGCGTGAGGAGCTCTTCCAGGCCAGGGTGGCAGCAGGCCTGTGCTTGTGCCTGGTGACCCCTGTGCGCCAATAGGAGCAGGGCTGTGGCCAGTGCTGGGTGAGGGAGGCCTTGCTCTCTCCTGTCTGGCCTACTGGCACCGGTTGCTTGGGATGTTCCAGAGCTCCTGTCTGCTGGGCCCACAAACACCTGCCGGGCAGGGGGACCCAAGCCCTCTCCAGCAGGTGGACAGTACTGGTCCGGTTTTGTGTGCTGGCATTGGAGCAGCCTAGAAAGGTTTGGGGGAAGGAGCCTCCTGTTTAGCATGCAAGTCGCTCTCGCCGAGTCGTGCCCTTGAATTGCACTGGGCAGAAATCTTTGCCTCCAGAGTTGTGATGCCCTCTTCCATGCGGGCCTAGGATACCTCGAGGAGTTCTTACAGAGCTTATAATGATGCTTTGGGAGGCCGACCTGTCTATCTCTGCCGTGGCTGACTGTGGAAGAGTTGATGGGCTCTAGTGAGCAAGGGAAAGACCTTGTTTTGCTGGCTGCTCATTTGGCAAACTAGACCCTGTTCTGTTTCTAAGCGTCTCAGGAGAAGAAGCAGAGTCCTGCAGACTGGTTACGGTCCCTGCTGTAAATCTGGTAGGATGGGTGGGAGGGAAAGGCGCTCTCACTTTCATGTTGTGGAAGTTGTTTCCTCTTAAAAACCCAAAGAAATTCCATGCAACAGAAGTGAGAAAACAGAAGCTCTAGATACAACTCTCTCTGCTCCCTTTCATGAAGGCCTTACGGTCGCTGTTAACTACATGATCGCCCAACATTTCACACAGAGCTACGTTTGTGTCAGTGCTGTCAGCTCCCGTACTGGATCCCTGGGGTCTGTCCCTGTCTCAGCAGGAACTTTGCCATCTTTAAAAAGGGCTGGGGTTTAAGCAGGTGGTTGACACAAAGGGCAGGTAACTTCCCCAGCCCTAAGCACATTGGGTGCCATTACGGTCTCTAATAGCTAGATTGGTTTAAGCATGATGTTTTAAGCTCCCTTAACAAAATCGTAACTCTAGACAGTCTTAATTATTTGGAGATTTGAAGGTAGGGAGTTCTAGATTTGCTTTACAAATGAGGAAAAATTTCTCTTATTTTTTTATTTTCCACTTCTAATTTTATTGAATGGCATCTCTTTCTGATATGAAAAGGGGAATAAAATTTCCTGACTTGTTTTCTTTGCCTTTCACCACTTTCATTATACCTGCTACTCCTTCATACCAAATAGCTTTCTAAAGTTCAGTCTTTGGAGTATTTGTTCTTATTCTATATAACATGGAATATGTTTCCAAACTAGCTTTGTAGCTATCTGTATATCCTAAGTTACAGGAAGAGTAGATGAAGAAATGCATCTTACAGTTGACAACATACTAATCATCTTCCTCATTTAGGGGCAGGATTGGCCTGACCCTTTAAGTGAATTCCCAGTAACTTTATGACAATAGTGTGAGTTCATGTGGAAAAACCCAAACAAAAAAACCCAACAACCCGAATATGGTATAGATAGTAGAAAAAACATATCCTACTTTAGCAAAAGCCCTGATCACCTGGAGACCAGGTTAAAGTGCATGTTTAGAAAAGAGTAGTTATTTACCTTTGAATACACTCAAAATTGCTGTTTTTGATTTACCTCTTTGATTTATCTTTCAGAAGATGTCAGATGTATCAACTTAGTACTATGTTTGATTTTTCTTTTGATTTTATGCACTATACTTAGTGTACTATGTATGCTGCAATTCTGCATTTCATAATCTTCATGTATACTCTGCAGTTATGATTCTTCTCTCCTCTTTCTCTCTCCTAAAAGCCTGTATCTTCTTGGGAAACTATGTTGTTGGGGGTGTTTTGAGGTAAAAATAATCTGATGCATGTTCCACATGGCAGACTGTCTCTCCTTAATGGTTAATACAAACATTTTTTATTGTACAAGACTGACAAGGTTCTTTGGGTAAGTCCAATATCTTCTATTCTTTTACCCAAAGAACCTTGCCAGTCTTGTACAAAAAAGTTTGCATGTCCTTAGACCGACACAGCTACAACCTATACCTTTTGTACAAGATTTACACTTTGCCAGTCTGGAAATCTGGTTAATATCCCTGTTTCTTAATTAGACCTAACACTTTTGGAACTGCCATTGAGTAATGAAACAAGTTTGCCAATGTATTCTGCTTTTATTGCTTAACCTAGGAGTCAGTAACTTTTGGGAGTGGGGAACTGTTTTAATGGAGCTCTAGCCCAGGCTGTTTTCATGCTGCTGCAGACATTGTTTCTCCATACTTACATGGGCAGAGCCCCTGTCTTCGCAGGCTGAATCCAGCCAGGGAGCTATAGGTTGCTGACCCCTGGCTCAGCCAGTTCCCTCCAACTTAACTCAAATATGTGTTTTTTTTTAAAAAAAAAAAAAGTGCATGTGATGTTAAATTGGCTAGGCAGGAGCTGAGGCTTGTAAATTCATCATGACTAGCTCTTTTAGCTGCTCTACAGAGTGGTTTCCATCTTCTGCTGTTCACAGCCAAAGATGATGGAGCTTGCTTTGCAATAGGGAAAATCTAGATTTCAAACCCCAAGTCTGCAACCTTAAGGTGCAAGTAGAAGCCTGTTCCTTCTCGAGTTTTATCAACCATGTAAATGCCTGCTCTTACAGAAAGCTAGGACTTCAGCAACGTGAATGATCCCAGAACACAAGCAATGGGGGAAAAAAACTCCATCTTTCTGTGTTTCACTTCTATTTATTTATTTTTTTTCATGTGATCCACATTTATTAAGTTTCATAGCCAGGTTTCCACAGATGCTGACAAAAAGCATGCTTACCTTGTAATCTGTCACATCTATCTGGAAGTTCCATCATTTACTTCTGAAAAATGACTATAGTGTTTCAAACAGGCTCCTTGGGTGCATCCCCACAAGCGCGCATGTGTTTTTGTTTTTTGTGTTGTTGTTTTTTTTTTTCCCTGGGGAACAAATCCCAGTGGCACATTGGCCCATGGCAGATTGCCATGGGTGGGATAGGGGAGGTTGGGGCCGCACATAGGCAACCTAACCTGGGGTCCAGGGAGCTTCTTGGGGCTGTAACAAAGTGATCTGGGTGTGTGGAGGCTGGCTGGCAGCTGGAGCATAGATAGCTCTGGCTGGCCAGGCTCCAGTTTCAGGTGGTGCAGGCTGCAGCCATGTGTGCTGCCCTGCTTTTTTAATTAAGATACTGGGATTTTTCTGGTGTCTAATTTTGGCTCCATGTTGCAAATATCTAATGCGGAGAACCTTTTGACCTGCACTGCTAACGTTTTGTGGTGCCTCCAAAAGCCTTTGAGACGCTGCAGAATGTACCTTCCCACTTGTTTGGATGCACCACTTGTGTTCAGTGTGAATTCCAACTTGTGCATCAGTGTAAGGTAGTTAAGGTTTATTTGCATTTGTGACCCTCCAAGACACCCAGAGAGAGTCTTTGGAAGCCTGAGGCAGAAGTACTTCAGTTAATCAGGAGCTAGATGCTTGTTGAAGATTAAAAATCCATCTCCATTGATCATTGCAGTAGCGCAGGGATGTCTCTCTCCTTTTTTTTTTTTCTTTCTTTTTCACTCCGTGACCTTTCAGGTGATATGGGGTGAATACATAAATACAGGAGCTCAGAGTGGTTGCATTAGGTTTCAAATCTCTTTCTGTTCATTTATTGGCTGTTGCCTAAACAAAGCAATAACCTCATTGTTATGCTCTTTGCAGTCTTGAATGCAGAAAACCTGCAACACTTGTATGAATGTTCTGCAATTCTATCTTCAGATGCTAAATCAAAAGAGGAAGTTGGGAAGCACGTTCCCTAGTGTCACTACTGGTATTCAGTTAACTGTACTGCATCCAGGTCATCTTTGGATGTGGGAATTGTGGATTTATTTTTCCTTTCTTTATTTTTACCTCTCTTCATTCTGGGACGCATTGAGCAATGGATTTACAAGTCCAGATCTGTCTAGAAATGTATCTGGTTCCAAGTACTATTACCAGGTCTTCAAATGGCTTATCTTGCAGCGTACTGGCTGATTGTCACATAAACCATCTTTTGTGCTGGTTCCTTTTTTTTTTTTTCCTCTAAGTCCTTGTTAGTATCTTTTTCTTCAGGGTCTGATTACTGTCCCCCACCACTTAAGGTGTCAAAGATGAAGTTCAGTTGTTAAATAAGCTAACGGTCAGAATCCTTTGTTGCTGTAGCACTGGAACAGTGACTTGTCACAGAAGCTTTATTTTGATGAATATGATGACAATGGAAACTGTTTGTCTGGATAATCAAATTCTTGCATCTTCCTCTTCAAGCTGACAGTATTCATTCAGTAGTGTTTTTGCTGCTGGAAACCAAAGGAATCCATTTTCAATTTGAGACAAGCGTGCATCCTTTGTCTTGATTGACCTTGTGCATAATGTTTACCCTTTCTTGTAGACTGAAAAAGACTGAAAAGCAAAAACTGGTTAGCCCATTAACATCTGCTTCAACAAATGCCCTCCCTGGCCCACCTTCCGTAAATCCAGCTTTTACTAACCAAAGCCCTAGTTATTGAGAAATCAGCAAGAAGCAAGTAGACATCCAGTGAAAGAAACTACACTAGCTAGCCATGGCCAGTGATCCCATTTGTTTTTCTATTTTCTCTGAGGCTTGAGAAGGCAAGCCAATAACCTTTATGTATTTACTGTTGTTGTTTTCTTAATTAAACATAAACATCTCATTTTGCAGATTTAAATTTTAGCATTGAAAACCTTTCAAATGTTTATGTGAATATCTCTCATTCAGAATGAAATGGATGTTTGGAAGAGTGATTTCCCCCCCTC